GCCCCACCTGCCCTCAGGCCTTGTTTGCTTTAGATGAAGATGCTTTAGTAATTGCCAATGTCCTTCCTGATGGATGAAGTTATCTTAGTAATTGCTAATGTCCTAGTTGCTGCCATAGCAAACTTAAGAGCCAATGCATGGCTTTTCTATAGCAGAGAGACCTTTAATTTGTACCCTAGCTGTGAAACATAACATCACTTCTGCTACATACTGTTGAAGTTCACCTAGCCATTTCAGAAATTAAGCTGGAATATAAAGAGAGGCTATTTTATTTAAAATTCTAAACTCTTAATCTTAAACTAGTGGTTCTCAAATTTTCTTGAATCTCAAAATCATTTGGAAGGTTTATTTAAATACAGATTTCTAGGTACCATCCCCAGAGTTTCTGATTCACTAGGTTGGAGACACACTGAGAATTTGCACTTCTAACAATGCTCAGGTGCTGCTAATACTGTGGGGGGATTCACATCTGAAAGCTACTGCCCTAGAATATAATTTTTTTTTGGTACTGAGGATTGAACCCAGGGGTGCTTAGCCAGTGAAGCACACCCTCAACCTCTCTCAACACACCCTCTCTCAACACACACACACACACACACACACACACACACACACATTTATGTATTTTAATTTAGAGACAAGGTCTTGCTGAGTTCCTAAGTGCCTTGCTAAGTTGCTGAGGCTGGATTTGAACTCATGATCCTCCTACCTCAGCCTCCCAAACCACTGAGATTATAGGAAGACACCATCACTCCTAGCCCTAGAATATACTTCTAAAATAAATTACTCAAGAATCGAAATTAGACTTGGTAACAGAATCCTGTGAATTTTTACCATCACCACCACTACCACCACCACGACCCCATTCTCAGCTTCACAGAGCAGAAGATCAAGCTTACCTATATATCTCATCATCTTAGGTCTAGCTTGTGCACTAATATAAACATATGCAATTCCTTTGTAGACCACAGGACAGGACGTGTGTTTACAGTGTTGGCTCTGTGGGATCCTCTGCAGTTACACTTGCTACCACTAGATGAAGCTCCTACTGCTCCTCTTACCTTTCAAGAGAATTTGATGTTTGACTACTAGATAACATTGATTGGAATTTAACATCATAACTAAGATTACTCAGAGTTGTTTTACTCTGGGAATAAGGTGACTAGTCTTGTCTTTTTTATTTCAATGTAATTCAGAAAACTAAGTGTTATATTGAATATCATTGGCCTCAAGGCTAAGATCCATGACTTCTCTAGTTGATAACTGTTTATTTCAAAAATATATACCCATCTCCCCCTACCCTATACTAACTCATTTTATACCAAGAGTTAGTTTCAGAGAAAAAAGAAAAGCCTCTATTTCCTTCTGTATCCAAGTTGGAAATTAGCTTACTCAACATATTTTCACAAGCATACACCATGAGCCCACCCATGTTTGTTTAACTTATATATTTGTTAAAGGATAACAGATGGATCCAGACTTTCTATAGAATAGGGTAGTAGGAGCAGCAATCTGGCTGGAAAGAGGAGCTGTCCAAGAGGCTTGTTTTGTAGCTATATCTAGATAGCAAAATGCTGTCTGGTAGCTGAAGAATTGCTGAGTTAGGGAGGATAAACTTGAGTGTGGTGAAAACACTGGTCTGACCATTACCTCTGTATGGCTATTGTAAAGTGATCAGACTTTTAGCCTGATTGAATGGTTCTAGCAAATGAGGATGAGAAGCCAGGCAATAGGCCTAGTCGACCCTTATTGGAGGCTTGGGCAATTCTACATGTTAGATACAGACAAGGGAAAGGTGGTTCCATGGCCGTAACAGCACATTTGGCTGCACAATTAGCGATCTTCCCACAATTGTAAATCTGATAAATATTAAAAACTTTTTTATAGCATCAAAACTAAAAAGACAGTTTAGAACAACTGAGCCAATATTTTAGAAATAGTGGAAATCCAAGCAGTGAGTATGGATTCCAAGATATCACAGGGGTATTTATTGAACCCCAGGGAGAAAATAAGAGGCTAACTAACCCTTTGACAGCCTCATAAGACCAGGGGGTATAAGATCTGAATCTAAGATCGGCTGCAAGTAAAAGAAAAGCAGCTCCTGATATCCAAGACCTGGGCAGGCTTACAGCCAGGCCTTGTGTTGAAGGTAAGCAATTTCACAGAGCAGCAGCCTCACACAAAACCACTCTGTGATTCTGAAGTACAAACGCGAGACAACTCCATAATTACATCTGAATACAGGCAAGTATGGACATTGTCTAGGCCACACAAATGACTGCTGTTTGTTGAACAGTAAGAGCCTTATCCTTGGCCTGATCTTCCCTCCTTACTAAGACTCCCATGATAGAATTACTCCCACTTCCTGAGAACATCTAAACTAAAATCAAGCCTTATTTCATTTAACTCTCCCACATTACTTATAATAAGCCTTTTCTGACCCTCTGTTGCTGAGATGCCTCATGGTTTCCCATGGTGTATGTCCTCTCCCTTGCTGCAATGAATAATGAACCCCACTTATGAAAAAATTACTGCCCACCTCTATACCCAATTGGGTGGTAGATTTTTCAAAATTACTACAAATATATTTGAGCTTCATTCAGAGACACATTTGAGTTCCTTGGAAATAGTTTTAAAATATTATATCATGTTATATTAATTACTATGATCATATTATGTCTTGATTTTCAGGTTTGTTGGGTGAAATAGAACAGAGCTTAATCTAGAACTGGTTACTTCCCAGTACTGTAGAGTACTTATTATACTCTACCTACTGTTCAGTTCATCTTGAGATTTTCCAGTCAGACTGGTGGAGACAAGCATTGTTTCTGTCTGTGTGAGCACCATGCCCTGCTACCTCTAATCTTTTCCAATAGTTCAGTCTCTGGTTCCACTAGCTTTTACACACATGTGTTGATCATTGATCTGCTGAATATTCAAGAGGAACCCTTAGTGGGCTTCCAAAGCCTGCCTACATCCAGTTCTCTTTGTCTTTACACTATTAACTATAAGTTTAGTTTCTTGGCTTTCTCAGACTCTGTCTCCTCAATTGGAAGGATTCTTCCCAGCTAGGAAGCAGCCTGGATCTCTCTCAAGGCAGGAAACTGGGAACACTGCTGGGCTTTCCATATTTGTTCCCTTTTCTTCAGGGATTACTGGTTGTCTGATATTTATTGTCTTGCAAAAGACATAAATTAAAAGATATAGACTATTATTTGTCCATTTTTTTGTTTGTTTGTTTTGTTTCAAATGAAAGGATGTATCAGAGCCCTTATTCTATCTTGGCCAGAAGTACAGGTTATTATAGGATTTTTTTTTAAGGTAAAAAAAAGTCCTTAAGTAATAAGATGCCAACACAATACTGATTTGGTTTAATCAGTTAACTTTTATCAATTAGTTGAAAACACAGAATTTACTTTCAAAGTATATTCAGAGCTTAGAATCACTCTCGTTTATTTTAACCACTTTTTCTTTTTGTCTGAAAATGTACAATCAGTTACTTAGGTTATCTTTAACAGGAGAATGATAAAGGGATCAGAATTCTTCTTTTGGCTCTTAAATAAGAATTTTAAATGTGGTACAATTTCAGTTGTCTAATGTCAGTCTTATTTATCTTTCTTTTCTACTTTAACAATGTCAGATTTTTTTTATTGTACTTTTCTGGTTTTGTTTTTGGGAAATTCTTTATGGAAGACATACTGAAAATGTCAGGTTTTGAAAAACCATCTTCCTGTCAGAACTGATTTAAAATTCTGGGATTGTACTGTTTTAATTTTCTGCCAAAACTGTGTAAGTTTAAAAGAGGCTACAGAAATTATTTTCCAGATGAACCCTCCACCCCCATCCCTGGTATTTTGCATAAGGCCCTAATCTTTGCATTAACACAACTTTCATTTTTCTATTTAAATTAAACAATTGAAAAAATATATTATAGTCTTTGCCACCATTTTATATAAAAATGAACAGAGGCATTGCAATAATTCTGCAAAGTATGTTTAACAGATTTTTATAGATTCTTTTAAAATAAAGTGGAAGGCAAAGAGAAGGAAGCAGTTTATAAAACTGTGAGTGGGCTGTTTTGACAGTGACAAGCATCTAGTATTGACAAAGGCCAAGCCATGAACGATTATGTTAAGGGGAGAAAATTCAATAGCCTTGCTTGTAAAAGAAAGAAGGAGATACAGTAACACTTCATTTGTAAGGAGGCCATTTGTCATTTCTCCTATCCGTAAACAGGTGGCATTAAGAAAGAAAATGATAAGTCCTCTGAATGCCTCCAACTAGCTCCACTTGCTAATTCTTTACTCACAGCACATTAGAAGCAATAACCTTGAAACAGGTCTAGGGCAGAGGCTGAGAGTAACTGAAAGGGAAAGCACAGGGTGAATAAAATTTGGTAAAAATGAAAGAGGCAGAATAAACTTTCTATAGTACCAACAAGGTTTCAAAAAAAATAGCAACATCAAGTCTCATTACCTCTCATTTACATCAAAAGGATGCCAATTTATGACAACATAACATAACCACTGAGTATTATTATAGAAGTCACTGGCACAAGTAAAAAAAAATTAAAGTTTATAAAACATTGACAAACTGTTTTTTATATACTGTCACAAATTGATTCTGAGATTGGCAGTAAACCTCTGTAATAATTAAGGAAAGCATTATCATTTAAGAAAGTATTCTAAATTGGAGATGAGGGAGTAATTTTTAAAAGTTAACTCAAACCCAATTCTGTTGATACCAGATTCAGTTTGTAATAAATAGCTTGAGTCATTAGGATTTAAATCTGTTAAGAACACCAAAAGAGGATGAAAATACTTGTAATATATAAATAAATGAAATAAAGGTGGACACAAAACCTTTATTTCATTTATTTATAGGTGGTGCTGAGAATCAAACCCAGTGCCTCACACATGTAGTAGGCAAGTGCTCTACCATTGAGCCACAACCCCAGCCTTATTTAAGAAAATTTTCAGTAAAAATTTATCAAATCTTGTGTTCACTTCGGCAGTACATATACTAAAATTGGAACCATACAGATAAGATCAGCATGGCCCCTGCTGCAAGGATGACATGCAAATTCGTGAAATTTAATTTCTAAAAAATTCTAAAAAAAAATAATCAAATCTTTAAAACATTTGACAAATAAGTAAATATCATCTCTTTGGAAAATTCACTTCAACTTATTCATTCTTATCTGCTTGTTGAGAGTTTGTGATACGCACAATAACCTCACAGGTGCTGGAAAGAGTGACATAGTAGTATTTGTCCCAGCCATGAGGAATTGATACTTTAGGGGAGAATATGAAACACAAACATATTAGTCCAAGGTAACAACCAGTAAAATTGATCAAACAAGAGCCCCTACCTAGTTAGAAAGTAGAAAGGAAACATGTGTCACTTCCAAGGTAGTTTCTTGCAAGTAGCATTTACTTTGTGATAAGTAGCTTACAAAGGAACACTGAAAAAGTCACATAGATAATCTATTGTTGTATGAAGCAGAGCTTCAGTAAAGATGAGGCAATACTGGGCTCAACCAGAAATGGAAAGTACCCTGAAGCATGGAACAAGTGTTGAGCAATACGTGAAGAAAAACTAAAAACGTTTAAAGTACATTCTTGCATTCAGCTGAAGACAAAGTCCCTGAAAATAGCTTGTGTTCTAGTGGGGAGACAGGTAAAACAAACAAATGAGCAAATATGCAATAATATTAAATACGTGTGTCTGTGCATGTGTGCACGTGTGATATCAGGTGTTGATAAATACTAAGGAGAAAAATAAAGCAAGTTTAGGGGAAGGACCTAGCTTGTGGCAGTACAGACTCAGTGTTGATTTAGGACTGTTACTCTTTAGAAAGCCAAGGAAAGACTCTTCCAAGTATGAGACCAAGATGAAGTATAAAGTGAGACATCTGACTTCTCTAAACAACAAATATCCCAAAGATTATTCTATTATCAAGAAAAACAAAAGTTAGGAAACCCTTGATTCTTAAGTACACTATGAAGTATTCGGATTCTACTCAACTGTCTCTTCTAGGGTTCTGTAGCTCAACTGGATCTCCAAGTTTTCTCATTCTCCACCACCATCTCTGTTCCAATGGGCAGGGGAGAGTCCCTCATCCTGCAGAATTCACTTTCTGTGAATAAGCCCCTGGAGCTTCCACTTCTTTTTTCTCTTAATATTTTTTTAGTTGTCAATGGACTTTATTTATTTATAAGTGGTGCTGAGAATCGAACCCAGTGCCTCACATATGCTAGGCAAGAGCTCTACCACTGTGCCACAACCCCAGCCCAAGCCTCCTCTTCTTTGTCTCTTTTTTCTACTCACTATTTCCAGCCATCCCTCTGCCTCATCCCTGATACCCTTCTAACCACATGAAATGCTAGTCTTAGAGACTCCATTTTCAGCCTTGTGCCCCTAACCCCAGGTTAGATTAACTTCTTGATTTTTGCCTCTCTACTTTATCAAATTGTTCATTCAGTGTTTTAGTCAGCTTTTTCATTACTGTGACTAAAAGATCTGACCAGAACAATTTTAGGGGAGGAAAAGTTTATTTGAGGGCTTATGGTTTCAGAGGTCTTAGCCCATAGAAGGCCAGCTCCATTCCTTGGGGCTCAAGGTGAGGTAGAATATCATGACGAAAGAGTGTGGCAGAGGAAACCAACTCACATAATGATCAGGAAGCAGAGAGAGATCTCCACTTGCCAGATACAAATATATACCCCAAAGCAATGCTTCCAATTCCCACCTCCTCCATCCATACCCTATCACTTCAGTTTCCACTCAGTTAATCCCAACTGGGATTAACTCACTATTTGGGTTAAGATTCTTACAGCCCAATCATTTCTCCTCTACATCTTCTTGCATTGTTCACATGTGAGGTTTTTGAGGTCACCTCACTTCAAACCATAATATTTAGGTTGAAATAATAGAAGATAAGAGATGGGGAAATAGGGCCTGGGAGTTAATTAGCATATAATCTTGACAAGGTGAAATCTTGGACTAAAATGTAGTATTGCAAGTGCAGATGCACAGGAGGACAAAGCATGTAAAGGATCTGCAAGAGAGTGACAGCTCAGCTTGCTATATTCACTTGAAAATAACACATGCAGGAGTGCATTGCCTTCCAATGCCTTAGTATCTAAATAAAATAAACATAGGTTGTCCCATAGTCTGTCTGCTGGCCACCCATGGTCTCCACATTAGGCACCTCCCCTCTTTGTAAAGAAGATGAACATCTTGAGTAGGGAGACATTATCAATCAGCAGTTGAAAGGATAATCTGGTGATGTTGTACAACTAGCCAGCCTGCATTGAGAAGCCAGAAAAACCTGTTTGAGCGTTGGGAAAGAACCTACAGAATGAAAAAAAGTCTTGGCCAGCTACCCCTCTGATAGGGAACCAATATCCAGAATATACAAAGAACTCAAAACAACTTAACACCAAAAACCAAATAACCCAATCAATAAATGGACAAAAGAACTAAACAGAAATTTCTCGAAAAACGAAACACAAATGGTCAACAAATACATGAACAAATGTTCAACATCCCTAGCATTCAGGGAAATGAAAATCAAAACTACACCAAGATTTCATCTCACTCCAGTCAAAATGGCAATGATCAAGCAAATAAATAAATGCTGGAGAGGTTGTGAGACAAAGGAACACTGTTGGTTGGACTTTAGACTAGTATGTACATTGTTGGTGGGACTTTAGTATGACCACTTTGGAAAGCGGTATGGAGATTCCTTAACAAACTAGGGATGGAACCACCATATGATCCAACTTTCCCACTCCTTGGTATTTTCCCAAATGATCTAAAATCAAAGTTCTACAGTAATACAGCCATATCAATGTTTACAGCAGCACAATTCACAATAGCTAAATTATGGAATCAGCAATATCTATATCATATACAAAAAATCAAGTTCTACTCAGCCATAAAAAAGAAGGAAATTATGGCGTTTGCCAGTAAATGGATGGCAATGTATTATATCATGCTAAGTGAAAGTAGCCAAACTCAGAAACTCAAATGTTTTCTTTCATATGTGAATGCTAGAGGAAAATAAAGGAAATGGGAAGGGAAGAATAGGATAACATGAAGAATTAATCAAATACAAATTAATAGATGTGTGAAAGGGAGTCTAGTAGAATGGAGGAAGGACAATGGGAGAGGGGAGAAAGGACAAGAGGAAAAAGAGGGGGATTATGAACTGAAATCCATTTCCATGCATGTAAGAGTATGTCAGGATGAACTCAACTACTACGTATAACTATAAAGCTCTAATAAGAAAATTTGAAGAGATCTGTTTGAGACCATTGTGAGAAGTGAGGAGGACTTGAGCTACTTGAATATCTGTGAGAATTTTTAGATGTTGGATAGAAAAATATTAAAAAGAAAGAATCCACAAGATTTGGTAACAAATTGGAGAACAGCAGAATCAAAATAACGATATGATCCAATAATAAATAGTAGAGGAAGACTTTGAACAGGTAATCAGGAAAGTGTGCTGATCTTGGGAAAGAAAATATTGAGTTGTTGGCAGAATATCCTTGTACCAGAGTATCAGGCTTTTGGGACTATAGCAGCCGAACCCTTGAAGAAGAGATCAGAGTGGAAAAAAATGTGGGATGAGCAAGGAGAAGAGCTACATTTGCACTAGAAAGGGTAAAGAGAGATGTCATCTTTGTGGAAGGCCCACATCTAATGTGATGAGGAGGTTAGAGATCCACCTCCACCTGGCTAAGAACAAGAGAGAATAGCTAAAGCAATCCTTAGCAAGAAGAGTGAAACAGGTGACTTCAAAATAATACAAACTATACTACAGAGCAATAGTAACAAAAAACAGCATGTATTGACACCAAAATAGACTTGTATACCAATGATACAGAATAGAGGATACAGAGACTAACCCACATAACTACAGTTACCTTATTTAGACAAAGGCACAATAAACATATATTGGAGAAAAGATAGCCTCTTCAACAAATGGTGCTGGGAAAACTGGAAATCCATAGGCAACAAAATGAAATTAAGTCCCTATCTCTCACCATGCACAAAACTCAAAATGGATCAAGGACCTAAGAATTACATCTGAGATGCTGTGCCCATTAGAAGAAAAAGTAGGCCCAAATCTTTATCATGTTGGATTAGGCCCTAACTTCCTTCATTAGACTCTAATAGAGCAAGAGCAAAAATCAAGAATCAATAAATGGGATGGAGTCAAACTAAAAAGCTTCTTCTCAGCAAAAGAAACAATCTGTGAGGTGACTAGAAAGCCTATAATTTGAGAACAAATTTTTACCTCACACACATCAGATAGAGCACTAATCTCTAGGATACATAAAGAAATCAAAAATCTTAACACCAAAAAGCAAATAACCCAATCAATAAATGGGCCAAGGAACTGAACAGACACCTCTCAGAAGATGATATACAATCAATCAACAAATATATGAAAAAATGTTCAACATCTCTAGCAATTAGAAAAATACAAAACAAAACTACTATAAGATTTCATCTCAGTCTAGTCAGAAGGGCAGCTGTTATGAATACAAACAACAATAAGTGTTAGCAAGTATGTTGGGGGTGGGGAAAGGACACTCATACATTGCTGGTGGGACTACAAATTAGTTCAGCCAATAGGGAAAGCAGTATGAAGAATCCTTGAAAAACTGGGAATTGGAACCACCATTTGACCCAGCTATTCCACTCCTCAGTTTATACCCAAAGGACTTAATAAGAGCATACTACAGGGACACAGCCACATCAATGTTTATAGCAGCACAATTCACAATAGCTAAGCTTTAGAACCAACCTAAATACCCTTAGTAGATGAATGGATAAAGAAAACGTGGTATATATACACAATGGAATATTATTCAGCAATAAAAGAGAATAAAATCATAGCATTTATAGGTAAATGGATAGAGTTGGAGAATATAATGCTAAGTGAAGTTAAGACAATCCCCCAAAACCAAAAGCTGAATGTTTCTCTGATATAATGATGCAGGTTCATAATGGGGATGGGGGTGGGCAGCATGGGAGGAAAAGATGAACTTTTGATATGGTAAAGGGGAGGTAGTAGAAGGGAAGGGGT